TCTAGAACTATTTCGACCAAATCGGTTGATGGTTCGACAGCCAAATTCAGTCGTTGAGTGATCAGATTATGCCGTTTTTCGAGCCGAGTTTTTCTAACCCGTCTTCTTCCGGGGGTGGCAGCATCGCGGCCTCCATAAGTATCGAAATTCTAGTTGTCTGGATTTAACACCTAACTGTCCTCGCTCTACTGCCGCAGCTAACAGTATGACTTCACCCCAAGCCGCCTCATAATATGATTATTCATACTATGAATTCTCGCCTCTGTCTGTCTGATCGCCGTTGGCATTTACGACAAGGGTGAACTCCAAGGAAAGGTATTACAGTTAGCATAACCCTCAGGATCAACACACAAGCCTGACCTTCGCGACGAAATAGTAGCTTTGTGTTCGGAGATCCGGCGACGGATATTGGTCATGGCAGAGTCTTCGCTGGCTGTGGGCCATGTGGGGATGGAGCAGGAAAGACTACAAAAATAGTTCAGGTCGTCGTCGAACTGAGCGTCGGTGGTGTGACTAACCTTCAACGTGAATGAGGAACTGAACCATCAGGCGGACTTCCTGTAGATATTCTTTGTTGCGTGAATGAGGCGTAGAAGACCATAACTGCTAGTAATTGGGTACTATTAGAAATGGCACAGAGTCACTAGCGTCCCTGTTAATTCTTACCCTTTTGAAAATCTTATTTTCGGGTGTGTTTTCCGGGTCGAATGTCACCACCATTAGTTAGCCAGGTAGCTACTCGTACTCCTATCATGCATGACAGTAGAGCCAGGAAAAGAAATTGATGACTCACTGGCACTTCCGTTGTGGTTTGGAGCACACTGACGTCAGACGAGTCATATTTAGTTTAGTTATGTGTGTTCACGAGCTGCGCACATCCACGTGGCTAGGCTTGCTACGGCATTCCCAAACTGCCTGATCATGTCATCACCTCTAATACTATGCTATCTCTCCCAAACTTTCCCATTTTCTGGTTACCGAAACTGTACCAGCCGGGACCAATTTACCTGTGGTACATAGTCTATGCCTGATAAACCGAAATGTTACGCATTCTCATAGGATTCACATTCGTTTGAACATTTGCAAACTGCCGAACCTAACGTCACCACATGCAGCAACTAATCTGCACACTAACACTTACCATGATGTAAACGATATCGCGATGCTGTGTACACACACAACTCTGTTAAATTCCGATATTTTTGCACTAACTGTAAACACACCCATCCGTTCTAGAAATATACAGAATCATATGATTCAGAAGGCACAACTAAAGCAAAATCATCTTGCATTTTTTTTGAAGCTGTTAGGTATGCATGAGTAGATAGATTGGCTGGGTGGTTTATTGGTTGGTCAGTTGGTTGATTAATTGCTTGGCTGAGTGATTAATCGATAGATTGGATGGTTGGTTGACTGACTGACTGTCAGCAAGATCGACAAAATTACATCGTCCAGCGCCAGTCGTGAGTGCTCTTTTCAGACTACTATTTCGTCAGGGCTTTTAAGAGACTTGTGCACTTGCACATTGAACTTTTTCCATCCGTCAGTCATTTCTATCAACTTCCGAAATATGCGGTCACAAATGAAACGTACGACGGATCAGCTGTTTTATCGGTAACAGTATGTGGAAGGTCGCAGCAAAAAACTGGCTGGTGTCGAATCATATGGACACGACAATTTTTTTTGCGTACACCCTTGACTCCGCAGATCAGATATTCCGGGGCAGACGAACATTCTTCAACACATATGGATTTACTTTACCATCCCAATCATTGATTAACGTGTCCTTACCGTCGGTTTCCTCATAGTCACGTCAGACAGCAGCACTAAGAGTCTGCAGAATCAGCCTGATTTCAAAGCTTGAAGACAACTTCGACCATATGGACACTTCCCTTTTCTATGGAAATTAACAGGAAACGTACGCGACTGTAATGTGGAACATCTCGACTTACCCAGCTGTCCAATGGCTATTCATAACAACAATGGTTTGCATAACAACATAAGACCAGTGAAACAAATGTTGATTTCAAATCATACATACAAGCCCGGTGGTTCTGTTGGCCGACTTACATACAAGCTCATACATTCATTCGGACAATCGAAACTTCACACGCGGTTGCTGCGCAAAAATGAACACAAAGGATTGTTTGTGGGTTTTTGAAAATTTACCTTCGTTTATGGGACAGTGCCTCTACTGATGCATCCCGAGTGCGTTCAGTTGCCATTTGTAGACATGCGAGAGTGACATTCTAGCAAGCGGTTCCCCGCTCACTTCACTAGGATTCGGCTTTTGATGTCTGCCGTCAACTTTTGAAGTAGCCATCCATCCTATAGTACGATGGCCCAGAGTTGAGGAACTGGATTAGGTAGTGCACAGAAGCGTCCCCTATGATGTTGCCCGGACACTTTCAAAGTATTCTAAATAATTGTTTGCAGATTTTGAGGCGAAATGGTCCAGAATTTCAAATACCCAAAATGGTTCCCAATAACACCGTACATTTTTACCCATATGCGTGTCATTTCCATCAAATTCCGCCGTCTGATGAACTATTTTATGTACAATTCTTAATCTAGTCTTTGTGTTTGTTCCGGAATATTTTTGGAGTGGTTTTCGAACCGTACAAGTACTTTGTTTTGGTGACTTTTGCTGAAGGCGAGGGTCACCTTTTGACGACTCATTGTGAGAGAAGAAGCTTATTGATTAGTGCGGCTTCCGGCTTACAGCCCTGTTCACTAGTATTCCCTTGGTGTGCTACCTCGAGCAGATACATCGGCGTCAGATGTAGGTGAAAGTGCAGTATTTTGCGCACCATACCTCATCCTACAAAGAAACCCTCATAAGCGGAACGATTTTGGTGGTACAGATTTTTCCATTGCAATCTCCTCCCTCGAGAAGAGGTATCCCTATGAGCTGCAGAAGTCTCTTCTGGTTCCTCGAGTGTCTGATTTTCTTTCCAAGGGAGAGCGTTAGTCGACTTTCATGTCAAGTGACTGGTGGAATAAGTTCTGCTGACACGCCGTTACACCACATTTCATGTCACTAGATAGAGCTTAACTCAGTTTGGACGCAGATTTAGACTTAGAATACATGCACAATAACATTCGTCAGATCACATCACAACTACACGATGGAGTGAAGCTAATGGGGCTTGTAGGACACAAGACTACGGGATATCTTTTTTCATTGTTGCATTCGAACCAACCTTGATGGAGGTTCTCGATTTGTGAGTCCTATTCAAGTTCGCTTGGATCACGCAGAAACCAGTAATTCCCATTCACGGGCCGTGACATTGGTTCTTCAGGCATGCCACCTTGATGCAATGGTAACGAATTTCTGGGTTATTTACTTCAGTTGCAGGTGTTTGCAGGATCTGTAGAATTCTTGTCACATCATTCTCGTTTGAACAGTGGTCCTCCTATCCTGGTAGAATTATTTTGGTGAGTCTACACCAAAATGAAGTATAACTGGACTCGAGTTCCGCTTTTATTAAAACTCATCAGCGGTGCACCTCCTTGATTGTGCCGGAGTCTGAACTCCGGACATCTGACAAGCAAGGCGAGCGTTTTGCCGATACATCATCAGTGCACGCTGTGTGCATCTGAATTATCAGGTCTGAACAGGCGGACCACGCTTGACCAACACCTCGAACGACGACCCAGTAACTGTCCTGGTCGTGTCGATCAATTGATTTGCCTGTCGGTGGTTCCCAACGAGATAGCGTCACCGACGTTTAAAGCGCGTTGAGCAATTTGGGATAACTTGTAGGTGGATTTTCAGGATTTAAGCTCGCATCACTCGCTTGGACAGCCTAAGTGAAATTTTCTCACACACAAAAGCGGCCTACAGCGGCTTGATACGATAAAAATCACAGTATTGTGGTGGGTCAGGCGTGTGGTACGGTCCATCTGGTCAGCCCCGTCACGAGGAAACATTTGGATATCTTCAAGGTAGGCGGCTATTCATCTCTGAGTGGCGAAAACATCTACTGCTTGGAAGCGTGCCGCTCGAAATAGTTGAACCTCACGTCGCTTGTTGGGGGTTGTCCCGAATTAGCTATGGACTAAGGGAAACGCCGTTATCGGTCAGGATGTGTGCTGGTCGGAATCGAGCCTTTTTGCTTGGGTACTTCTGATCCCAGCACGAAGATTCTAGCATGACCTTGTGGAAATTCTGTGGTCATTCTGTAAATACAACTGTACCAATCTTACTTTGTCTCCATTAAAGGTCCCCTCAAGCTAACTCTGCCTCTTGATATGCCGTTCGGGTCGGATAGCATAAGGGTTGCATGCTGTGGATTCTCTTGGAATAGAATATAATTCACAACAATGGTTGGCAAATACTGAATCTCTTTGAGAGGGATGGCTCCCGCAATGCTCTGGTTGTAGCATATTCCAACAATGATCACACGTAACTCAAAGACGAACTTTTCTGTGAGAAGAATACCTGATAACGGACACCGCCCGCATAATTAGTTTCAGGCTAGCATACCTAACCAAGTTTACCATCGAAGTAGGGGGGAGAAGTCTCAACGCCTATGGGGATTAACCAGGCTGTAGTGGCCGCAAGCAGGTGACAGGAAATTCCCAGCTGAGTTCCACACACCCATCTGGACCTTGACGGATGAAAGGATTGCTGATTCCACAGAGTTGCTCTGTTACAACGACTTGAGGGACCTGAAAAACGTAATTATGACTTCAAACGCTTATCGATGTTCCATCTAGCCTCTCCCTCTGGAGGGAACTATTTGGAGAGAGGTCTGGTGGACATGTTGGAAAAAACTGTCTCCTGGAAATTTACTCAATAAAACGAAAAAATTGTTTAATTGCAATTATCTGTCGTTTCATTGTGTGGACAGTTGTATATGATGGACGTTGAATATGGACTGTTGTGGGGAATAAGCTTGGAATTCCCTTATAATCTGTAGGCTCCTGTTTACTTTGCGCTTTTGATCTTTGTATGGTCCATCTGTCTACCTGAACTTTGTTTCTACATCATTTAGCTCCTCCTAACTCAACACCCACGACAAACGATGTTGCCGCCGAGAATGGTCCGTTACCCACCAGGAAGAAAGTGAGTTTTTCATTGGTGATAAGTTCTGCTCGCTCTTCATCAACCTCCACGTTTAATCGTCCCAATCCCATCGTAAACCCTGCTGATCCCCGGCTGTACGAATTCAAAGTGCTCTTTCGTTGCTAGTGTTATGTGTTATGTGTTATGCCCAAGCTTCAGGCGCCTTCCGTTTGCTAGACTTTAGTGGAAATCCGGTCGGGGTTTCATCCAGCTATGAGAAAACCAGAAATCTGATTCGCAAAACGTTGTCCATGTCATTTCCCATGCTTTTATATCCCGATTGGCATCCTAGTACTTGGTGCTTATTTAGCGGTGCTGATGTTGCCTACCATCTAGATTCGTTTCGTGAGCCAATGTGTTGAGGAATCATGGCGCGAATTCTTGCAGATTCAGGGTTCATCGGTTGAGACTGCTTGTGCTTCGGCCAAACCCGTGAACAGGTTGTCCAACATCGACATCTCTGGGTGTGAATCACTCTGTTATTCTATTCTTACAGGAAAGTATTGCATGGGGGAGAAGGTTGATTGGTTGGTTTGCTACAGAAATACATGACTCAGCGAGCAACTTTTCCGGCGAAGTATTGTACGCTTATATCGACGTAGTTGATTTGCCCTTTCCGTTCTTTTAGTTGTGCATCTTGTGGCTTATGGTAAACGTGAATGAAAACTTAGATTCCAGAGATCTTTGTTCAGTAAAGTATCTGGTCAACCAAATTGGGTGTGCAGATCAGACATATTCGTTGAAGTCGTGTCATGTCGAAAAGTTTTCAGTAACTTCATGATTAGTACGTTACGTGCCGTGTGATTTCATGAGACTACGTCCCTGCGTTTTGGTCCCTTATAAACCTCTGGAATTTTTAACAACAAAGGTAACACTTCAGACATCAAAAAAGATATGAATATATCTTGAGCGGAGCTATCCTCGTGACCTTTGACTCCGGAGTTTATCTCATTTGCTCCTACTCGCCAGAGCTGCTTGCTTTTAAGTCTCGCCTACCGAATTATTTGTCTTCGTCACCTGCTTTGATCTGCCTTTCAAAGTTGTGTACAATGATGTGGCTGTCTTCACATGCAAACAGCTGTCGGAGGATAAATGATGCATGGGTGATGTTGAGAGCCAATCATACAACTGTCCAGCCGCTCGTTGCCTAACGTTTCAGTGTTCAAGCACTAGTCGGAGTGTCATGGGCTCGGAACCCTCCGGGTTCTGTCAGATGCACATTGCTAGTGTTTCCAAATAAGGATGGAACAAAAGTAAAGTGCATCTCGGCTCTTCAGCGTAGACTGGCTTCTTTGACAGGGCGAACTCTCAAATGCCACATGGTTGTCAGGTGGTGTTCAAGTGGACAGAACAACTACGTCTTAAGGACACGACAAGCTTTTCATTCAATGGTGATATTCCTTACGTCTGACAGTTTCATTCAAGAAGGGAGTTCACAGTAGGCGTTTCCCATCAGCTTTCTATAGCAGCCACTCCCAAAACGATTTACGGTTTCGTGCCATAGTGAATGATTCCACCAATTCCCATAAAAATTGCATTCTAACTATTCGTCAGAATTACGACCTAATGACATTCATTCGGTGCATCTTACTACGCTGACCAAATCTCATCGTTTACACGATCAATCCCTAGATATACTGCAATTGCATCTAGGTAGTGTGAAACCATAGTGTATATCTGAGACAATCATTACGAAAATATTTAGTTCTGACGTTTGACTATCTACTAGGTACAGTTTTAGCGTGGCGGTTAATGTCCCTGCGTCCGCCGGTTGATTTGGTGCTTTGATTGGGCGCCTCCTCCAATCCAATAGATGTGTCCGGAAATAGGGCGGTACAAGCAACCAATCAAACTCGAGAACGGCAGACCACAACGCAATGCGAATCAAAGCCAGAGAGAACAAGCTACTAAAATTAGAAGCCGTTGGGATAACCAATCAACACAAAGGAACACAGACCACAACGCAACAAGGATCACAAACGGACCAATAGATTCACTAGACTCGTTACACTTCAGGTAGCCAATCACGTCAGAAGATAACAGATGGCCTTTGACTGCTATATAAACACACGCAGGCAAAGAAGAAGTACCCACCCAACTGCGCACTGATGATGTCTCGTATGGTGACGAAACGTTTGCAAGCCAATTGCCAAGCTCGGTGAACAGATCAACAGCCACCTGATCAACAACCAATAAACTCACCCGAGCTACCAATATTTCATCAAATCACCGATCAGATGACTGTTGATCCATTTCCCGAGCTTGGCAATTAGCTTGCAAAGGTCTCTTCACCGTCGTCAGTGTGAGCCCTGATGAACAAATCGACAACCATCTGATCAACTATTATGGGATTTAATATCGAGACCAAATAACTCTACCCGTGCTATTTTATCTAAATATAAAAATTCAGTCATCCCAAAGGTAAACGAGTGTTTTCAACATCCCCGGTGTGTGATAAGAAATATCTGAAACGCATCACTTCGCCACAGGCCGCTTGCCGATGTCACTCACAGAGGCGCGCTGCGTCGTGCACATTGTGTTCAACTGCCCGATAACCTTTTTTTACTCTGGGTGTGAACTTAATGAAACAAGTCGTTTCTTCCCAGTACATCCAGTCGGTGAAATCCAGTCAAATGAAACCGTTGCACCGCCAGGTGTTGAATTAACGGCTACCAAGCCATGGAATTTTCACAACGTATTGCCGGTCTTCTGATCGATTTTCATAGACAGATGCGTCTTTTGCTGTTGGCTCCACTATCGCACTTTGAATAGGGTTCAGTGTGTTCGGATTCGGTGATCATTCTACGTCGTCATACGTCATCATTACTTACTCATCGCATTCGTGGCTCAGCGCAAACCGAATATGGTAGTACCATGTGAGGGGGAAGAAAAGGTCTGTGAAAGAGAATGAAGGGAGGCGTCAGCAATAGCCTGTTTTGGCTTACCCGCCCTGCTGTATACAGCTAGTAAGTCGATCCGTCTGACGGCACCACGTGACGGCCGATGTAGCATGTGTTTATTTTTATATGTGTAGTCCATGATTGTATGTGGGCTAGAATACTGTCAGGGTGCCCACACCTAGACAGGAGGATGATTAGGGTTCTTAACCAAAGCCTTTGGCTCAAAAGCCTAACCGCAAGGCAGCAGTGTTTGGCGGTAAATCCAAATGCATTAGCATTTCTACAGAACAAGACGCCACATGTTCCAACCCCCAACCTGGGGGACCAGGAGACTGTGTTTGTCAGACATTGCGCAGGCAACCCCCACTATAACTCAATGGATCGCCGAGGTACGCAGACTGCCACACCACGATAATTTCCAGTCTCTTTGTGAGACTCTCTTCATGAGACCAAATAACCCGAATTCTCAACTATATTGTTTTCGTACTTAAATTCACCAAGAAATTTGTTCATCGTTTCATATTCATATTTCACATCACCACATTTCGACATTTTTTTATCCCCATATTATTGTTTGATGAAGTTGTACCTTTCGTTGGAATAAGGATCAAATGGGTTCGTCGAAACCACGACTGATCTGATAAGAGCACAGTAGTTAGGACGAAGCAACAAGGGTAAAACCAACTTCTGGTACCACTTTTCTTTTGACCTTAAGAATTGACCTCGGTTGCCTGCTACGATACCATTGCCGTCACTTGTAGAAAGCTCATTTGGTCAATGGATTATAGACATCTGTGAACGAAGGTATAACGGAGCGTAAACCGTTAACGGATACCGATGGGAGACGAAATCTTGGGTTTAGAGCATAGTGCGTGCTGGTGCAGTACAAGTAATACTGAAGGCAGAGGCCCTTTATTTCAACCTCAGGGATGGTAGCATACATTAGACTCACGCAGAATACTATTCAGATTTCTAGGTGCGTGTTCACACTTCAGAGGTGCTTGTCTTGATTGTGAAGTTACCATAATCGTTGACCTCGTTTTCCCAGGACGCATTTCTTCGATGTGACAGCATGAATCTTAACTATTGATCGAACCCATTGGCAGTGCAAGATTGTGTATTTGCAGTGCTATTGTCGTCAACCAAGATAATCAGCGGGAAAGGCATGGGTTACCCAAAAGTCACAGCTCTGTTGCTTCGTTAATCATTTCGAGGATCTAGAAATATGGTCTTTGGGTCGCTGGATGCCTACTTTCCCTTGGTTGAAGTCTGGTCTGAAAGGTTTTCTCGTTCGAGGGTGCTTTATTTTGTTTTCGTGCCCTGTCGACTGCAGTGTATCGAGTGCTTTTCTCTTTGAACTATTTGTGAATGGGGTGGATTCGTTTCCTCCTGGTGAAGTACGGAAGATGTTAGCCCTTAAAATACCATGTTCATCATAACCATCTATACCCAGGTGCATTTTGTTGGACCATCATACCATATCGTCAAACAAAACAGTAGCCATCAGATATATATATATATACACATATATATATATATATATATATATATATAACCACAGTATCTAGCCTATCCAAAGCACATGTATGCCTACGCCATAAGTTTTCTGAGCCTAATCCCCACTTATCAGATGTCACATATTTTTTCATCGCAATTATTTGGTTTGCTTTGGCACGCCAGGTTAAACAGTTTAATTCAGAAAATCCTTGGTGGCTGGAACTGGTGCGGTTGCATTTATTGTCATGATTTTTATGGACGGATGCACTCTGAGGGATGAGGAGAAAGGGTATCTAAAGATATTTCAAAGAATATTTCGCTGACTTTTCACACCGAAGTTACCTACGTCCAACCGGACCTCGTAAGTGCAGACTCTCTTGGAGATATCGCTGCGAGATGTACAAAATTCATGGATAGATTACACTCCCTGCCCAGTATTCAGTCTTGTTCTCAGTCCTCCGTACTCAATGTCCATACTCAAGTGCACAGCTGAACGCTTGCAGTTCCCGAATGAAGAGTAGCTCATTTGCTGTATGTAATGGACTCAATATGAGTGCGCATTATATCCGTCATATTAGACAACACGGTTCAATAAAAAACAAG